CTTTCGCGGCTTTGCGCGTATGCGAAACTGTCGGCCAAGGTCCCAAGATTTTCTCTTCTGTAAGCGACCGTGAATCCAGCTGACCGAGCTTGGCTTCCATAATACGTCATTCAGACTAGCCCAATTTGCTGCTTTACTTCTATAAGTCCTGAAGCATAGGCCTACGACGCATAGAGCGACGATCCGAGGATCTTCTCTTCGGCAAACGGTTTCTTTCACATAGCTCGTTAAGCGTATCGTGTAGAACATTGCATTCACCATCACATAACGATCACAGGAACACAGTGTATGTCCTATTGTTTCGATATTGGTGCTCAACTCACGCCTGGAGGTCTGTGTCATTCCCATGCGAATAAAGCAGGCCTTCGTGAAAGCTACTCCAAACCACAAGCAGCACAGTAAAGTTGCTGCGATTTCTTAAATGTGACCGAGTTAAGCTACCGCTTGTAGCGGTATCACGGACAGACGCGCAAGTACCCTGGTGGTGTTTTCTTCCTTTTTTTCTTTTTTTTTAATCTGTTCAACTCTTCCTCCAGGGCACGGTAGCAAACCAGATGGGAATCTGGTTGACCTCCTTTCTATTCATTATTTTGTTCAACTGCCTTCCTACAGAATCGCAAAAAGGAAAAGGTAAAAGAAATGGTTGCCCTCCCCCCACCTCCAAAAAATGAGCAAGCAAAAAAAAAATTCACAGAAAACGGAAAAAAAGTAACGAGAAGAACATGACAGTGAACATAGTTAACCGGAAACGCATTTCTATCCTAATTCTACCTACTGAATCACTTCGCTTCGTGTGTATGACACAGCTGGTCATCATATGCGCTTAGCCACTTATCCAGTCCACTCTAGGCTACGTATTTTTGGTCGTTCAATCAGCTAAGCAATACTGGCAGGTTTAATGCTAAAGAGAGTCATCAGGGGATGGTCGGGAGAAATCGAGAATGTGCTCCTCAACGTTTTTGTTGAATCAAGATCAGAAGGTTGTGTTTCATACATGCATGAGTGACTGCACGCCCTGCTATCGGAGTGTCATAATTACCAAATTATGATGTTCTTGCGAGCGCGAGCTTAATCAATTGCGGCCGAGAACAGTGTAATGTTGTTGGTTTGCAGGGAAGGAAATGAGTGTCTCGATTTGGGGAACAAAACGGTGGTGGTCCCATTACTTTTCGGTCGGAAATTATTTATGCCAAGCGCTTGCACAGGAAGACTAGGTGACGAATTAAGCCTCCGACACGTGATAAACTATACGTAATTTGCCTATCCCAGGTTGTATTACGAACTTGTCATTCATCTATTTCTTAATGCGCCTAGGCTGCTGAAACTGTTACGAGCATGTCACCATTCCCAGACGGGCATTCACTTAAAACATTTCAGCACCTTCGGATCATAAAGAAAGAAGCTGATGAAAGAGTTGAAGTCCTCCCGGAAAGGGTGACAGAAGTGTGTTTCTAGGGCATGATAACGAATCATGTCTAATGTGTACACCTTGGATACATCATTTCATCATGCACACCAGTCCTAAGTGATCAAGCATCAGACTATACCAGAAAAAATAATTAAAAACAGCTTAGATAAAAACTAAATACTTTTGCCGTTATATATATATTAAGAGCATGTGTAGTAATTATCAGAAACCAAACATAGCGCCTTAATACAGTCTTGCAGGCCATCGACTGTATTATAATTCTGCACCTTGGAACTGAGAAGTGGTTGAAATAATACGAAGTAACCTACCATGTCCAAGGACGAACATACCGTTCTATAAAACTAGCACTGTTACCCCTTTTTTGATGTTGTATGCAGCAGTAATCACTAAAAAAAGTTTGAAGCAGTTGTATGACATGCATTACCCGCTGCCGAAAAGCCCCACTGGAACTTCGCTGCTGACGTGCTATGCAGTGAACGTGAGGCAATGACAAACTTCGTACTACCTTGTAGTTGTCCAGATGGAAAATTTTATTCCGCTTTAAAACAAAATATACTCTTCTGAAATTTGGTATGTTTTGCTAGTAAACCATACTGTGCAACAATATATAATCCATATTTTTAATTGAACCGCTCCATTACGAAAATCATACCGCAATATGAGTCGAAATGCTATTTTTATCCAACTTGTAAATTATTCTGGCAACGTTTCTGCTTCATTCCCTTTCAAAGTAGTTTAATCATATAATATAAGAACATATCCAACAGAAATTGTAAATAAATTACTCATGAATGAAATGCGTTTCTTATTCAATATGAAGCACAATGCAATTTCGCACCAAAGGGAACAAGAAAGAAAGTTAAAAGGAAAATGAATGAACGATTATAGTGATGAAATCATAGCACCCTGAGAATAATGAAAAAAATGTTTCGTGTTAATTTCTCAAACCAGTACCAATATATACATTATTTAGCGCAAAACAGTTTCACTTTGGTGCCCGAAGGTTGAAGCGCCCTCCAGGCAACACAATTTTTTTTTGCGAAATTTAACGCCTCAATAACTACTTTTCACATTCACATATACCTGCACAATTTTTTTCAGCATTATGCTAGATGGTCGAAAATGAAAATTCTCTCTCTCTCTCTCTCTCTCTCTCAGCAGCAATATATTCTTATGTAATCAGAACGTCATCATACGAGAGTCTAAGATATTCACTGCAAACTCCGTCCCCTGTGCTTCTAGGTCTGTCATGTGAAAGTGATAGTAAGGTGCAGTGGTTGTATATTCTACACAAGTACCATGAGCCATAGTGACAGTGCCTCTGAGTTTTGCCAAGCGCAACGCTAGACTCGTTCCTCTCTTCGGATTGAGCGCGAGATTTCGAAGCCGGGCGAACCAAAGGTTTGCTTTTTCTGTGGTTACAAATGCACCGTTCAAAACCTGCCAATTTTTTTTGAGGTCAATAAAGAGAGAATAAATTGAGAAAAAAGCAGAGAGGTCAACCAGAACTACAGCATCCGGTTTGCTTCTCTGCACTAAGAGGAGGGGAAAAGAAGGAAGAGAAGAAAAAGCGAAGAGAAAGAGTACACGTGCGAAAATAAATTATCAAGATCGGGAGATGTATAGACTATTAAACAGGCCACTACCACGCAAAAAATTGCAGTGCGGCCATGAGTGATTTTCTGTACGAAGACAGATCGCGTCGGCATTTTAGGGGAAGCGCGAACCTATAATCAATACAAGCTCCACTTGTAAAGCCTCGGTTCACTTGTTATTCACCTAAGTGACTTGCGAAAGCTGCTTTCATTTCTAAGTGTAAATACTATTTCTGTAAAGTAAATATCACGCACATTGAAAACTGAAGGCTCGTCCTTTCTACCTAAACTGCTACACTTGGCTAAGCAGTGATGACAGAAGCTCTGATGAAATTTGCCAAGTCATCAATGTTCTCGAATGCCAGCGACGTGAAAGCTATATGTACGGGAACATCAACTATCTGAAGCGCACGAAAAATGTCTGTGGACACGGAAACAGGCAGATGTGATTGGGCCGCCCAGAGATGGCCGTGGAGGTAACTTGCATTCATGCTAAAGTAGTAACCAACTGAAGATATTTATCGCTAGAGCCGCAAAGACAGAACAAACAACATTATCGCCAACTTGTGGGAGCTACTTATGCATGAAAGCAGCACTTGCCGTGAGATAAATCGTCGTAGTAGGCTTTAAAAAAATATTTTGAAACTGCCAGGTCAAACACTGACTACCACTGACAGCGAGCAATTGGAATTCCAAACTCATAAGAATGCATAGCTGTCGCGACGGGGAAACGCACCTGCAGCCTTGTGCTGGGAAAGACATACCTAAAGTTTATGTGGTGGTAGTGATTAGAGGAAAGGAAAGGCGCCTAGTTCTGCGGCCCGTTAGGAGAGTTTACGTAGAAAGCATATGCAGTACCTTAGACATACCGAAACCCCTCTCGCGACGTGAGTGAAGAACTGCAGTTCCGTTGACATAGTCTAACTTAAGCATGAGACGTCGTTGTGGTTGCCCCGAGGAGTTTGCAGAGGTAGCGCGCACAAAGAGACTTCGAGCAGTTACTCCATTATAGTGGTCTGTGGAGCCGGAAGTCATCTTTAGCTGTAGACTCACTCCCCCCCCCCCCCACCGCACTTCCATACACTAATACGAGCTATGTCGAAAGGTCAATAAAGCCGAAAACGTTAGCCGCACGGAAAATTGGGCGCCCCTCAAAGGCCCGCCACTTTTTTTTCTGACAACCTTCACTTTGGGCCATTTCGGGCTATAAGTGTAATAACTCATGCGAACCACGGGACCTCGAAGACATGTGCCTGCACAGACTCCAATTCAACGAGAGCGGTGGAGCCACCTTTGTGTAGACTGGCGCCTCCACGCCTTCCCTCAAGAGACGCGAACAATCTGTCGGGTCATCTCACAACAAACGTCCGGAGCTCAACAATTTGTTCCAGCCGCGTCGAACGGATGGAGCGCGGATCCGCGCGCTGCCGCGGCAAATCGTTTCGCGGCGAGCACGTGCTCTTCGTTCGTACTTTTATACTTTACTACGAGGCGGTGACGAGTGACAAGAGACAGCTGCAGAAGCAGCAGTAAGCAAGTCAGGAGCGTCGGCAAAGGCCGCGCGTCGGAAAGGGGACCCAGAGCGCTCTTCGCGGTGTCCTGCTTCCCCGAGGAAAGCCCGACTGAAGAAGAAGAGGACAATGCCGGAGAAAGTGCCTCGGCTACCGCCGCGCGATCTCCGCTTTGACCAGACTTCCCCCCACCCCACCCCGCACCGCCCTCCTCACAGCATGGTGAGTCCTCCCCCTTTCCGACCTCCTCGTCGAAACCCAGGTATCGCGCGCGCGCGCCTTCGTGAGTGAATAAAACAATGCCGGCACGCTGTTTTCTCCTCTCTACTACGAGACCGGGGATGACCCGGCGAGGAGAAAGGGGAGAGCGGACGAGAGGCCTCCACCGCGTGCAACCCCTTCTCCTCATCGTATAAAACCGCCCATGGACCCCGCATGACACCTTCACTTTTCATTGTGGCTCCCTGTCCGGTACTGGTCTTCTTGCATCTTCTGGGTGGCAACGGCCCCCCCGTCCGGACTTTGAAGCGGCGGGACTATTTCTTGTAGCTTTGTGAAACTCGGCGTCCAGCCCGGGCGTCCTACGTGCACTGAAGTTACTACTGGTTCTTCGCCAGCGGTTCCAGGTGAGTTTAGTGGGTCGGCTCCGGTTGTTACACGGCATCCAGCCAGGACAGAGTCCCTCTGGAAGTTCCAGCAGGAGTACGCGAGAATTCCCCGCGACCTACATAGAGACACCCTCTGGTAAGGAGTCGTGCAGCGATCGGTTTGGATGCGGATGCGACCAGCCATGAAGCCACGATGATTCTGACGTATCTCTCCTTTTTTATTTCACAAACACTTGGATATACGATGGTATTTGTGCGCTCACCAATCTGCGATACGTCAGGTTCTTTCCGTCGCAGTGCTTCGATTCCGGCATTGGTGGATCTAGAGCTTCGTGGGTTATTGTGCCAGAGGAGTTATTATCTGTTTTAGGCCCGTGTATGGTTGCATTACAGTTCACGCGTAGTACTGGTTTAGCTCGTGTATCTTGTCAGGCTTGGGCATTGCAAACCTATCGATGCCGAAGCGTCAGAAATCTCGTTTGACCCCGACGGGACTGTCGCGAAAGTCGCAAGTGGCCGTGTACCGCATAGGGCCACCGAGGATGTTGCAGTGACATGAGCTGATGTCTTGAACGTCCACTTCACTGTGATGTGTTTCCCACAACCTTTTCATCACTTACACATTCTGTAACTGTAACGTCAGAACGTTCTCCTCAAGTGTGCACAGTTCTCTGTTCCTTATTGAATATGTATACCGGCTAGTAAGGGTGCGTCAAGACACGCTGGTTGATCATCTTTAAAAAAAAAAATGTGCTAGATGAAAAGTTCGTGCGTAGGAGCAAATCTCACACACACACAAAAAAAAACAAGAATGTAGCTTTTCAAGAGCACAAGAAAATGCAGGTTACAAATGTATTTTTCGCCCTATTGAGACATCACTACAAAGTGTTAACGCTTTGTAAATAACAAACATGGCATAACCGTCAGGTCCAGCTGAGTAGCATTTTTTTTTTCATTCACAACCAAAGTACAACTTTCATCTATTGGGTGCAAGGTGTGTGCGTGTTAGAGCAACACTCATTATTTTTTTTGTTCTACCTTTTCATTTTTTTACGCTTCTTGGTTGACTATAGTGCAGAGTTGCACAAATATTTACAATGAATAGCCTTTTACCTTCTCCTCTCCACGTTGTCCTTTTTCTTTCTTTTCATCCCTGTAACAGTGTGTTAAACGTATTTCAAGCATGCTGATATGCTCTGCCAGTGTCAAAATCAGGTAAAAAGAAGAAAACTACTGCAGACCGCACTGCAAATCTCCAGATGTCATTGCTGACACGTGAACGTCTTTTATAAAGCCACATCTTCACTTCCTAATCCCCGTCTCGTACCGCGCACATCAACTGGCTCGAAGTTTTCGACATCGCCGTTCGACGTGTACGCAAATTGTCCTACCTGTCAAGCGCCTTTGTTGCCGTTGTTCGTAGACGTCTTTCGAAAGAAATAGTGCCCCTTTTTAAGAACGAAAAGGCAAGAAAAAAGAAAGGAAGATCAAGAGTGCGCGCGAACGCATCCAACAGCCACAGGACAACTCTGTTCCCGAAACGCGCTCCATGCGAACGCACGTCGCGCATTCAGACTCCCATGACCACAAGAAAAAAAAATAATCCCGCGCGGCAGCTGACAGCCGGGAATCGCGGAAGAGCATCGCCGAGAAACCGCGGCGCTGTCCGGACACGCTTCTTCCCTCTTGCAAACGGACGCCACGTATTATACTACGCGACGTGTATAACGCGCACCTCACATTTGCGGCAACAACAATGGCCTCTTGGCCGCTGACCCTAATTTAGGAACCCCCCCTTCTCACCCCGTGCCAAAAGCTTGCCTCTGAGGACGACTATATGACGCGCCGTCGTTCACAGAGACGACCTCCGTCTTTTACATTGCCTGAGGCTACGAACCACTCAAGTCTATACCGCAATTTGGCCGCTCCATCTATCACTGCGAAAGAAAGATAACCGCCGGCCGCATCTTCCCAAATCGCTGAAGCCTGGTCGTCCAGGAAACACAAGACTTTCTGCGTAGACCTTTTTTCTCGGTCCGTTGCGAAGAAAGACTGAACTGATGATGACTGGGGGGAGCGGGGGGGGGTGGCAAATCATACGCACCAGGTGTGTGCGCGCTGTATGTATGTACGTGCACATTAGATGTTCTGGCGAACGCGCGCAGTCACTGGGATCAAATCGTGCCGGAAGAAAAGTACAAGTGATGGGGAAGGGGAAGGGGGTCGCGTTAGAATAAATAGAGAGCATATGTGCATCGGGCCCCGATTCTTGTTCCGGTACGCTGCGCCTCCGACTCTGGATATATGTGCTACGCGGTGCGAACGGAGGTGAATCGGAGGGGGAGGTTAAAAACGCAGAAACGGAGAACGCGTACTGGTGTCGGATCCTGTTTGATCGGGCATGAAATTGAGACGACTGGCGCTCTCAGCGTGTTTGATTACTCGGGAAAATAACACGTTTGTACGTGTGCCGATGGCCAAGCTCTGGAATTCGTAATCGGAACTCAATTATGAGCAGCCTTGGCGAACAGCTTTACCAACTTCTGGCCACCTCAATAAAAATTACATTCAGCGATGAAGCCTGTCATTACAGGCAAGTTACAAGGTGGGAGAATGTCGTGGTTTGTGGGTCAGCGGTAACCGCTATGACGCAATGCTAACATACAGGGACTGGGTGCTGGCGCTAGTTTCTGCTCGGGTTTTGGCAGCAGTTGCAACAGGGGGATGATACACCTCCAGCAACATAAATTGTTCTCCGACAAAACTCTTCAAGGTCCCTTCAGAATCCCTTCAAGCTAAATTAGTCGAATTCGAGGTTTGAAGCTTGCACATGTGCGTTCATAACAAATGGCAAACGATTCGAAGTACTCTGTACTTCTACCGGGTAGAGAGAGGTCAAAATACGTGCACAAAGAACGTTTATTGAATCAGTACATGAAAGCGCTAGAGGCGCTCATGAATTACAACACTTCTGAACTGCGTCAATGTAACTTAAGCAAACGCTAGATGCCTTTTTACACAGACTGCATTAATACACTTTACGGTTAACAAACAACTATGCAAGAAATGTGCTAACAGAAAGTGTCATACTTGTGTTTAGAATAAATTTTAGACTGATTTAGAGTACGATGTACTCTTTCATGGGAGAGCAATAAGCTGTCCTATTTGCAAGACGTTACTTCATCGAGGATAACAGTGTGTTTAGAAGTAACTCGTGAACGTTTTTGAACACTGCAAGCACTCTAATATGTGTGTGACTTATAAGCTGTCTTAGCTAGGCATGATATTTGCAGCAGAGCACTTAAAAAGGGTAGTTAATGATTCAGAGTACTTCGTACTATACTACGGCATAGACACGACGTCAACCAGCTGAGTGGACATGAAACAGAACACACTTCGATAGATGCCAGCTCGTGCTAAACACCAGGCACTGAGCGTTTCAGCTTCGCTGGTTAGCCATATGTGCGGTGTACTTAAACAGGAGGTATTTACTCAGTGTTTTACGCTTAGGGTGAGCATGCATTAATAGTATTGGTAGTAACAAAGAAGCTTTAGCTGATGAAAGCATAAGCTTTGTTTTCTTCATCATCATATTGGTGAAAGTCGAACGTGGCTTATTCTAAGATCCAGTGCACTAAAGAACCTACCGTGGTGGTTTCAGTTACATGCATGTACATCACACTGGGAAGGTTTGCGGGACGTTAAATAGACGAGAAAGCAATATTTCCGCTTTACACCTAAGCCCCTGAATCATTGAGGGGCGTTAGTAGGCGTAATGCACTGGTGACCCTTTTTCAAATCTGTAAAGTTAGCTTATCTGCTATGCAGTTTGGACAAGTAATGGCGGCTAGTCACTTACTGCGAATAGCCTACCCAAGCGCGGTTTGCCTGCGCAATGACATGGGAAATGTAGGATGGGCTCTCTTGATATAAACACTCATAAATGATAATCCCCAGCACATTCAACTAGGACCGCGACCCCGCTTGAAGCACGAGTGGTGCCACAATTACATGGGCAAATATGCAGCGCAGAGAAGCGAACTCGCGAATTGCGAAAAGGGTGAATTGTTCCAGCATGTAGGGGTTCTTGCGACGTGTACACCCGCGAGATTAGAGTAGTCATGCACGTAACAAAGAAGAAATTCCCATTTTCCGCAGATCCTACGTCTAGTGAACTTATGCTGTCTGGTGTACATTCGTGACGTTGGCGTGAAATGACGACAATGACAATCCATTGTTCAGGCGCACTGCACTTGAATGGTCTTACCCTGCACTATAACATATCATCAATGTAGTATATACTAATAAGCGTAGCAGCTGCAGAGATCCGATACTCAGACAGATTTGTGATCGGAACATTACCTTTAGCTATAATGTTAGTGGATGATGTTGGCCTTAGTTGTCTGGTATAATAAATTGACAGAACTCTGCAGTTGTATGTTTCTGTTTGCGGGTTATTACCCCTCACCATCCCGTTGCATCTCCTCCACTGGTTTTACTTTTTGAAAGTGTACCACTCGCCTTGCAGCACTAGAGATCACAATAGTTGTACACTAAGGTTCCTAGAATAGAGAAATGATAAGGGTTTTATAGTAAATTTTACGGCAGTGTGTTGATTTGCTAAGTAAGCATTATAGAAATACGCACCCGCGAGGTAGATTGGGGGATCCCCATACGTATGCCGCGCCGCAATATTCTAAGTCATATTGATGACTGTTTCAGAACCTATCAGCAACTCATTCTACTCAGAGATCAGCTTTCGATAGCACTGTTAGTCAGTTCACGGTTAAAATGCTAAATGTAGCCAGGAAACTTGCCAGAAAACTGCAGTTTCCTGGCTATCTAGCACCTTATTGCGAACACGATTAAGCGGGGCACGGAGGGCAAAGAGCACTGAAAACGGGACTTTCCAATTTTTATGGCACAGTGTTCCAGCACTCTTGACAAATACTTCCACGAAGTGGCTAGTTTTTGCGCTCAGTGGAAAGCATTTGAAAATGGGCCCAAAGATGCCTGAT